AAGTTTGAATCAATACAGAGTGAAATATACAGCATTATTTACAAAGACTAAATAGACCAGTCATCGTATCTATCAAAGTAATAAAACAAAGGAATTTAAACAATGGTACTTAACGAGCTCCTTACTTGCTTAGTTGATAATGATCACGAGGAATCTTAAATAATATACAACTTATATTAAATATTATACAACTATTCTGCTTCATTGCCTCGTGGTAAATAGGTAAAGCTTTTTTATGAGGCCAGCTGAGCAGACGGGTCATCTGATCTACCACAAACTCCTGGCTCCCGCGTACCCAAGAAGCCATTTAAAAGAAAAGCAGAAATTGCAGATTACACATTTCAAAATGGGACTGTTTATAAGTTTTACTATCAAGTAACCATATTTATAATATAAATGTAAAAGTGAATTTGTTTTTTGTTGGTTACGCGTTTAAGCTTAAACTACTAAAGCTTACTTTTAAAAATTCTTTCCACAATTAAAAGCTATGTACGTTTCAATTGTGGAAAGAATTTTTAAAAGTAAGCTCCATGTAAAAAGTTGGCCTATGTTACCCGCTGATAATGTCAGCGAGTAACATAGGCCAACTTTTACCGCGAAAACCCACATACATGCTGACAGAGCCGCGGGCAAAAGCTAATAATACATGTGCGATTGAAAACATAATTGGTAACAAATCTACTACATTTTCAAACAATTTTGCTACATATCGTCATTAACGAGACGTAACAATAACAAGCATACACATTCAAAATAGTATATAGATACTAAATAATAATGTTTTTAATTGAGTATCTATTGCGTAATGCTTTTAATTGGACGGGAGGGTGGAAATACAACATGTAATAACTTAAACAGCTTAAATTCTCCATCTCAGTACGAACAAGATATATTCTATGTACACTATTCGTATCAAAATAAGATGAGTATCTACTTAATATGTGATTCATCTGCATAGATATAAATATATCAGTAACAACTATGTTATTGTACGCACATATCACGTACGTACATATAAAAATATTTTTTTAAATTAAAATTAAAGGGTATTAACTCACGTTTCAAACAAAACCTACTGAATGAAAATAACCCTCAAAACATATTCAAGTTCTCCCACCAAATCACATTAAGCGTACAAGCAGTGTCTTATGCAGTGTCTAAAACCATAGAACTTCATTTGCCATTTGACAATTTTATGTCAATAGTACTTTTATTTCCAAAAAAAAGATGTAAAGCTATTCCTATTAGTGGCTTAACTCCTCGCGAAATGAAAGATAAGACAATGGCATTTTTACATACAGTAGAGTATGGACAAACTGAAGGACTACTTCAACTCCAGCAGTAAGCATATGCCTATACCTACCTACACACGCACGCGTACACGCACACGTACACATAAACATACACACACATCGCATTTTATTTCTAACCTTTTAGAGGTATAATCTGTCTCTGTAACAGAAGAACACTAACTCCCAAGTTACTCCATTGGTGTGACCTTTATCTTTTAAGATGCTTGTATATTTATAGCTCTAACAAAACTGCTAAAGGTTATTTACAACAATAAAGATTATTATTCTCTTTTTTTTTACATATTAATTTTATTTTTAAACATACACTTCATTTTTTTGTAGCATTCCGGTTGAAGATATGACTATTGGAACTAAATGGATGTTTACTGCTCGCCACTGCCTCAATTCTATTGCCAGATCCTGATTCTTGGTAAGTTTTTCAGATATTGTTGATTGGGTGTTAGCGGTGTTCGGTACTGCTATGTCTATGAGATTTACAATTTTGTTTACTTTGTCGTGAAGTGTTATGTCTGGTCTATTGAAATGATGTTATGATGGTTCTGTCGTAGTATGTTTTGAGGTTATTATTTTCTAGTACTGTCTCTGGCTGGTGTTTTGCCTATAAAGTGATGTTTGTGAGCAAGATGTTGGTGTACTATGGCGGCTACTTGGTCATGTCGATGTTTGTAGTCGGCCCAGCTTCTTGCAGACATTAGTTGAGGGCCTTTTCCCGCGACGGGCAGAACTCACACCCCCGTCGATGGCCTCTTTGGTCGGGGATTGGCGGACAGAACGAGGAAGGTGTCCGCCTGTCACAAATTCTGACTTAAAGGCGGCTGTTCTACGGATCCGCTCCAAGAACACCGCCCCCGGGCCATTTGAGGGTTTTACGAGTCCCTCTACTTGCCGACCGAGCGGCGCACAAGACACTAGCATTATTATGAGACCGAAGCGATAATCTATTTTCAGTGTAATAACAAATTATTTCATATATATATATAGTTCCATATATACAAATACTAGTCCACTTTTATCTACAACTTCGCTGCAATACTCGAAGCTCAAATAGTTGTTTTACCGCGGACGTTCACGTGTGCCGGACGTCGCCTAAATAGAGAATGTACCCGAAGGTGGTTGCGTTGCGGGCAGGCGTTAGGAGGCTCAGTGGCAGAGTGGCTCACCGTGTGGTTTTAGTCAGTGCGATTCCGACACACCACCCCGCCGCAAACCGTGGTGGGGTAACGGTCCGAAGGGGTTTCCGCACGTGAAAAAAAAAAAGAAAAAAGATGTTGTCTTCTATTTGTTATAATTTTGTACCTTCTTTGACAAATAAAATTAAATACCTATACTAATATTTAAGTTTTTAATGACCGTGTAATAAGTTCATGCCTTCCCGTAAGCCCCACCACGTTAAGGTGGTCCCTCAGGGAGGTTATATTATTATTAAATCGGTCCACCCTACACCCGAGCTAATAATGCTACACAAACATACACAGATACATATATGAGTAAAATTAACCACGCCATTTCCTTTTGTACGCTGTGAAAATGTGTCTAGGTATATGTTATTATACCCTATTTTGGTGTATATCTGTCATAAAATTAAAACAACGAACTTTCAACATCAACCTTTAATGAAATTATTTTAAATTAAAAATTACTTTACAAAGAATTTATTTACATCCAATAAGTCTAGCCTTACAACATAGTCGAGTGAAAAATATATTACGTAAGTAAAGTGATTTTGTAAATATGAAATTTTTATACTTTACAATTTGTCTGAAATATTACATGTATTAAATGTCGACTTATGTATTAATTTTATTATGCTACAATCGCCATACAAATTTATTGAAATGTATTGTATTAGTTCAAACTGTCAAAGTCAACAATATACCAATAAAATACAACTTTGAGTGTTGTTCTAGTCTATGAAGGAAAATAATTATAGATTTAAATCATTTTAGTGTTTGATTTATGGTTTCAAGTATAATAACGTGCGTATTTCATTTTACAATTAAAAACATATACATTAGTTTTTTATCCAAATTTTAATGTGAGACCAAAAAGTGTACAATTTAATTAAAATGTCACAGTAATAATTTAAAAAGCTGTTATTTTTCACTGAGCACGCTTTGTATCCGATTGGCAGTCTTCCAAGACGGTAACTATAACAATGAACGTTACTTAGCGATATCTTTAGGTTATATATATTACAAGCACTGCTTCAAAGTCTCAATAACATATATTGGCCACAATGTGTTTGAAAATGGGTTAAAAGGAATGATAATTTTTCAAGTGGACTGATATGGATATAAATTTTTCGCACAAATATTAAACAGTGACTTAGTGCTCGTGGGTTAAAACCATGTAATTACAAGCAAATCTAACAAATTAGTTAACATGAGCTTTTTAAGATAGTATTGCTTGTGAATGTTCTTTTTTTTATGGTAACTGTCGTCTATAACCTTATCTCTCTACCATTTCTTAATATTGTACTTAGAATCATAAAAAAATCAACAAAAACAACAGAGTTTACATCGAAATACTTCTAATTCTTAATTATAAAAAATAACAGTAAAATTAACGTCCTAACCATGAACACACCTCTAAATATTCCGATTAAATTATTAACATTTGAGAATGTCTATGTAGTAAAAACAATTTGTAGTATCGTGCAACTGCAAAAATAAGTGAGTGGTCAAAGTCGTCCCAACAAAATACATTGACAAAAACAAAACACGATAGTGTAACAAAATATTTATTTCTTTGCTATAGGATTCAGACGGGTTAGTTTGTTCGTTTTAAAGTTTGACTTTAGTTTATAATGAGTCTGTAACCTTTTTTCCTTAATTAAATAAATAATTTGTGATTAAACTGAGACATCGTACCGCGTAATGTTTTAGTTTATCTTTGAAAATACTCCTATATCTGTCTAGTTCTTTGCGTCTTCTGTATTTCATATTATACCATCAATAGAACATACAATGTACTAAAACATTGTTTTAGATTATTGTTTTTTACTGAACTTTCCCTTTGTAACAGTAATTTTCAATATGTTTATGTTTTATTTTATAATATTAGGTATCTTTCAAAATCTTTTTCAGTACCTATTGACTGTAGTTCACAAGCCTTATTTTTACAGTACTTAGTTACAAAAAAATTATAAAAATGCAACTATGCTAAAAACAAGTTTAAGTTATCCCATTCGCTACTAATAATCACTTATAATTTTGACACAAAAATAAATATTCACAATCCAAATATCTTGTTCTTTGTTTTGACTAGCCAATTCATAATTTTTATTTATTATATACAACGCATTTATTTTATAATATAAAATATTTACATGAACTTCATAATAGGCTCATAACATAAATAAAAATACACAATGAGAAAAATTTAAAGTTCTTTTAGAAAAGTATTCTACGATAAAATTTATGTTGCAAGATAATGTTTATCATACTTATATCTTATATCACATTTTTTACATATTTAATATTAGTATTTACATTTTCATAAGTTACATTATACTTAAAAAACTTTTATGTAATAATAATGTACACTGGCATTTTTTTTAATATTTACATTTACAAAGTAAATATATATTATGCTTATATATGCTTATCAACACCACCATACTGTACGTCACATGTTAATTTTTTCAAGATAATAATGTGAATACGGCATTATAATACCTGTTACTGTTTAAAATTGAATGGTCCACATTAATATTACAGGGGTAAACAGGGAAATAGCGAAATTCGAATCAATAGTTGTCGTCTTTGAAGTTTGGATTAAGTTCCTATAATCTTTTGCTTCATTTTGCGATGGGTACGTGTAAGTCCTGTCGGTCACACTTTTGACATCTTGAGGACATGGCAGAGTCTCTACCGGTATCTGAAGTAAGGTTCTTTCATTTTCACCTTTAACGGCCTTTGGCTCATCAACGTAAGCTTCCTCTATTTCGTCTTGAAAGAAATCATCCGGATTATCCACATAATCTTTTATTTGGCTTTTGTCATCGCTATCGTACAAATTGTTTGATCCGATAACGCTCCTTTCAAAATAAGTAAAGTGTGAATTTAACGAAGGCTCCGCATTGAATTTGCAAATGAAATTTTCGAGAGACGTTCGCACTTTGACGCTTTTGGCCTCATGACGAAGCTTATGCATCCATGCGAGATGACAGTCGCACGGGAATTCATTCCCTGTAACAATTGACGCGTTAATGAATATCTTTATTTTTATAATGATAATTTTTAAGAATATTGTCTGTTTCGAATAATTGATTTTATTCAATAAATACTCGTAAATATAACTGAACAAAAATGTCTGGATAGACGTTACTAATAGCAACTACTAGTAAAAACTAACCTTTATTCTAATTTTCAATCAAAGAAATATCAACACACAAAGTCATACAAATTAAATTAACAGGCAATAAAAGAAGACATTGAACACTAATCTACATACCTTCAAGATAGATGTAACTGTTCTGATTTTTTAGGTTATCGTAAATCGGGTGAAGATTTTCAAACGTAAACCTTTTCAATTTATTATGCCTTAAATCTAAGGCGGACAATCCCCTGACCCCTTCGAAAAGGCTGTTTGCCAAAGTTATAAGTTTGTTATGGCTTAAACTTAACTTCCTTAATTGTGATAATCCATCAAATGTCCTCTGGGCCAGAACATAAATTTCATTATAATCTAACAACAATGATTGAAGGTTCCATAACTCAGTGAAAGTAAACGAGTTTAGTTTTGATAATTTATTTCTTCTTAAATCTAATCGCTTCAGATTTGCAAGTCCATAAAAACACTCCTTCTTGAGTTCGCTTATATTATTTCTATCGAGCTCTAGGTCAATTAAATTAACGAGATGTTTAAATGCACCATCATGAATGACGCTAATATTATTACTAGTAAGATACAATTTCTGAAGTGCTGGTAGTTCGTAAAACATCTCAGTCTCTAGTTCAACTATTTTGTTTTCATCTAAAGTAAGTAGAGTTAAATTTGGCAAGTTATAAAACGAATGTTTACCAAGATAGAATATCTGATTCTTTGTCAGGGTCATCTCTTGGACTGATGTTATGTTAACAAATGAGTAGCTTTCTATCTTGTGAATTGAGCTGTATTTTATGCTAAAATGTTTTATTTTTCTTAAATATCTGAAGACTTTGGACGGTACAAAGTCTAGACCACCGTCTGCTCGCACATTGAAGGCCAATGTTTCTATGTTTGTTTGTGATGTAAAACTTGTCCATAGAGGATCGGATTTTTCTATTCCTCCGTTGAATACCCAACATTCTGTTTTTACTGCTTCGTTGACTTCTTGGCTGAACTCACAATAGCAATGTACTTTGGAATCTCTGTCACTAATATCACATATGTTTATTGTAGCTGGAATTAGTTTCTCTTTCTGTTTTCTTCTGTTGGCATCCAAAGCTTCTATTGCAAAAAGCAACAGTAGCAAGGTAGCGGGTATCTTCTGAGCCCGCATACCTCCTACCTGTAACCAAGAAAAAAAGTTGCATGAAATACTAGTTTTGTAGAATATAAAGCAGGGAAAGGATTCTTCAATTGACGATTTCTACTGATTCAAAAGATTAAATATTTAGTTTAATTAAATTACGTAAAATGTTTTTATTTGTTTGTGCCCTCAGAAATTATGTAATCCAATACTGCTTCCTATATAGAAGATACTTTTTCGTATCACGTTACTTAATCCTAATATTCGTGCTAATCTATGGCTGTTATAACATAATTTATCCTCTCCATCTATCATTTATTAGTCCTCCATCAGATTAAGAATAGATATTAATATAAAGTTGGTTTTAGTTAATAAATCCAATGTGAAATTTGAACAAAGTTTTAAAATAAAATTAGCTTACACATCGAGCATAACTATTTAACTCTCTCATACCACGTTAATTAACAAAGTCTCTTTTAGTCGGTACACATGACGTAGAACCTTTACCGTAATTACTATATTGTTTGGTTTCGTTTGTAATTTGGGAATTAATGAAAATAGTTCGTGATATGATATTAATAAAATGATATCAAGTTAATTAGCTTCTTTTGATGTGGTCTCATAGCTTTTGGCTTTAGTTTAGACTTAGGTCGTGAGGTAATGTAGATGCTTAAAGGACTTAGGAGTTAGTCAAAGTTGGATAAAGTTATCATCCGTTATTTAAATGTTCACGGGACTGAAATTGAAATATTAACATTTCTTCTTATAAATATTCTTATCTTCGTATAATATTCTTATAAATATTAATTTAATATAATAAAATAAAATTAAAGTATAGTAGTGAGAGTTACGGGTTTTGAAGAAGTGTGAGCACTATCAGAATCGAATTCTCAATCTCTGACTCAACGTCTGAGTCAGGATCATATAATACTAGACTAGCAGCTTCGTCGTAATATTAATTACCAGTCTGTGGGTACTTTTAACATTAACGCACTCACAGGTTATGGAGTGTAGAGGCAAGGAGAACCATCTCTGTGTATGAAAGTTTCCGTAAAAAGGCGTCCAATAAGAGTGGCGCTGCGGTAGCCTAGGATAAATTCATATTGGCTTAAATAATAATTAAACATGACTAGACTGCGAAAATACTCAATAAGTTTTACAAACAATACATAAACGTGTTATAACTTTCAGACAGTAAAAGTATTATGATATTTTAACTCAGCACACTTTACTCCGTCTACAACAGCTACGAGTATGTTCAAATCTTGGTTTTTCGCACGCCAGCAACCTATATTTTCAGTATGCATCTCGACACTTTTTCTACTTTCCCCTTGATGAGATAGCTCTCCTTGCCTCTACACTATATATTTTACACAGGTTACAAAAAAATACACCAAAAATTTTACGAAGTTTATTCAAAATAATATACAAATTCCAAAACTGATAACATTCATTCGCTTAACAATAAAATATGGCAGTCAATTCCCTACATACAACTGCTCTATTTGGCGTTCCAAATTGAAATGATAACTCATTTACAAAAAAGCACATGACGGTTCAGTCAACACAAATATTTGCCTGTATTCTACTGGGATTTCTATTTTTTCAGTTTGAGTTCTTAATAGGATTAGGAAAAATGACAAATATAAGTCGGACTCGCATACAAAAGGTTCCGTACTAAATTTATGACGAAAAAAATCTAGTTTCTTGTATAAAATAGTCGAAAGTTAATTTTTATTATTTGTTGGCAATAGAAATACAATTCAGTGTAGTTTTGTAAGGTCTATCCATAAATACGATATAACCTGCTGACAGAGAATCGGACAGTGAAGGCTTAGTAATAGGGTTAATAATAGATTGAAGGACTAATAACGGACACGCCAAAAATACGGCTACGTATATATATTATGTACCTACTACAGGCTTCGTATACAAAGGATCGACTAGAGATCCGTTAATACTACTTACTGTCTTTGTTTTTCGCTGTTTGTTTAACTAGAATAATATACTTTTTCAATGAGTGGAGTGTTTTCTAAGGGGATCCCAGATGCTCATAATGGTGCCAACTATAGTCTTCCTGAAAGATCCATGTGTATGTAAGAAGAATGCTTAATATTTTTTAAACTTGAATTGGAATTGAACCCTCTGGCTTAGCAGCACAACATAAACATTCTCTCGGTCAAAAGTGTTTGGTGCCTTAAACCTTATTTCTAAGTACAATACAAGTATATAATTCATTCTCTCTCCGTCCATTACATCATAAGCAGATACAACGGTCGAATTTATCACCAGCCTAATCCAACAGCCTCGATTGATTAATTGGCTTCAAGCCTTTGAGTCTTAGATTTGGACACCAAGAAGTGATAGAAGCTATAAGCATTAGCTTTGTGTTCCCTTTATTATGGCTATGCCTCATTTAAGTCGAAATTAAGATAAGGTTTCTCGGGGATGTATTAATGTTATGTAATTATGAATTCTCTTTGTTAAGGTAAGTTTAATGATGATGGTATAGTGTCATGGTGGATTTAGCTGTAATTGTGACTTTGAGTAGATAGGAGAGTAGTATTTAATTGTAATATAGACGTTTTATTTTAAACAAACAACGATTTTCATTTTTTTGTTCTTTGCCAAAATTTTATTTTAGTGTTTTGGTTTCCTTTATAGTCGGCCGGCCGAAAAACCCTTGGAAATAAAGTCGTTTTCGGATAAGGGCAAAAAAACAGGTTAAATGGGTACAGGAAAAGATTACGCCCTCACAAGTAGTTCGTTAAGGCCAGGGACGCATACACATATTTTCCGTCAGAGACAATATTCCAATTATATAAAACATGAATAAAAGAGAAGAACGGCGGCACAACATAGAAGAAACAAATGAGCGATAAAGAAATATCAAGAATAAATAAAAGTGTAGTACGTATGTAGACAAAAAGTATCAGGAAACCTATGACGTTCGCACTGAATTTAGTAATAAAATAAGTAGTAACTATATTCCTACATCATGATGATTTGTAATAAACTGTATTCTTCATTCCTTAATTTTTACCGTTAGGGGTGAATTTTTATCTTGAAATGTAAATGAGACCAAATGGAAAGTATACTCTTAAGTAAATAAAAATTTACCAAATCGGTTTATAAATTACGGAGTTCTGAGCTAACAAACATAAAAAAACAACTGAAGTTAAAACCTCCTTCTTTTTTAAGTCGGTTAATAAATAAAAATAAAACAATGAATCTCATGAGCTATATTTTTGAATACAAATTTCATAATCTATGAATCAAGAAAAAAAAAATCTGCACAATCACAAATGCATGCGTATGAATAACAAAGGCACTGGAAGAAAGAAAGAAACTGCATTCACTTCAGTCGCAGGCAGCATTGCTTATATTTACATATGATAAAAATGTAAATACATGAAGATATGATTGTCTAGAGCTTTATAAAAAATGTATTTGATAAAATGGTACTAACAAATAACATCAGAAAAGTAACAAAAAATTATTCGTAAATTTTATTTAAAACTTCATTCATATTTTGTACAAAGGCGGAATTAATGCCAACGGCATTCTCTACCAGACTTTAGGGTGATGTGAATTATTATACGGTAGATGTTTTGTCGTGTCACCTATAGAGATGATTTTTGTATTCAGATCGAAGTAGCACACGTCACCTTCATTCGATTACATTAGAATGAATGAAGTCTGCATAAGCATATCATTGTTTTTCGTGTAAAGAAAATTCTTTAGCAAAAGTATGGTCAATAGTCGTACGTATAGTTTTGGTTTTGACGGGAAAGAAATTCTTAAGAAAGTGTAAAATTTGGGGAGTGCCAGTGACTTATTGATTCACGTTAGTAACATAGTATTGAGTAATCAAGTATTGAGTCAATGTGTAAACTCAGGTTCTTGATAACCGAACTCAGAGGTGTAGTAGAACCGTTAAATATAACGACCGGCAGCGGTAGTATCCAATTTAATCATCATCCGTTTGCTTCCTTCGATAATCACTTGACATTTGGTAGGGTTTACCGATAAACTGAACTTGACGACCAATACTATTAATTCTAGATCTTTATTCAATAGCTTACGAGATATATTCAAACATTACTTGCGTAAACAGCGGCAAATCATCATCATATGGATGGCACAAAACCTGAAAGCGTTGGATTTTAAAATTAGTAAATATTGAAAACAAAACAAGAGATATACCTAATACTGCTATATGCCATAATTCAAAGAACTTACTATTAGAAATGAAATAAATATGTTTAAAAATAAATATTTCTAAAAATAAGTAATCAAGGAAAAAAACACGTTTGTTTGACACTGATGATTAACAGATTTTGTTTAAATATTATTAGAGTTACATAAAAGCATATACCTAAATCCTAACCTATTTCTTATACAGTCTAAGTAGCTGTTTATTATTGTGGTAATCTTGCAGTAGCATATCGAAATCCATTTCGTAAACCAGCCCTCTGGTACAAAGTATAAAGATAACATTTTGAAGAGAATAACGTTATTTCAAAGCAAACTGTGGTACGTGTCTATTTCCCATGATACTTAAACGATAATTGACTAAACAATCTGCATGAATACACATGGACAAGAATGTATTTACACAGATATATTTGTTGAATCTAAGGAGACATACATGACATATTGCTTAAACTATGAACATTACTTGTTAGATAGTGTCAGTTGCGACCAACAGACGCGATATACTGCGAATTCCGATAGTTCCATATTAAACGACAACAAACGTCAAATAATGACAGTATTAGACAGAGATTTGCGCCTGACAGACGACTGACTGGAAGAAATCGCGCAATCTCAAGCAAATCTCCATCACAACCGAGGATCTATCAGGCATATAACCACATTTCTTGTATTTTTTTTAATATTTAGTTTATTTATAACTGAATACTGATTCATTTGCGAGTTGCGGCTAAAATGGGGCCTTATCAGTTAAATAATTATATGATCAATAATTAGCAAAACAACTAATTAGGACTAATATTATCTCACCTTTT